GGTTTATTGTTATCTCTTTGGTGTTTTTCCATCTTAGTAAACTATTATTTTCAGGTTTCTTCAAGTTAAAGTTAATTCAAAATAACTCAAAACACCATGACTGAGCGTCTTCCAGTGAGTCTTTGCTTCCCGTAAGGCTGGTTTCCATATCATCGCTACAATGCTGCAAAAGGGAAATTCAGCGATGGTAGACGAGTGGTCATGGAATCCACTCTCCAGTAATCGTAGAGATCGTTGCGACAACGATCGCTGAGATACAGTAAACTAAGTATTTCGTTTTATCTCAATAATTGTAGCGATTTTATGGTAGTCGTAAGGATCGCTCAACTTTTCTTGTAGAGATAGCAACAGGGAAAAGCAGCGATGGAAGCGATCATATAAAACTGACCCAGCCTTTAAAAAGTACGAACGAGATATTGCCCAAGATGTTTATAATAGGGGCTGGGGGGGTCTTTTTTTTTTCGATGAACAGAATTATTTTCAGGATGCAGCATCTAGGACATGACCATTAATTTAACTATCTTTTTGTTTCTGTGTTCAAGACGGTTTGGCCCTGCTGTTTTTTCGACAAAGGAAGAGCAAAACCAGCGTGTTCTCTACACCAAGATTCTGGAGTTTGAACAAGAGGCAGTAAGTTCTTTAGCTACCNGTTTTTCCATCTTAGTAAACTATTATTTTCAGGTTTCTTCAAGTTAAAGTTAATTCAAAATAACTCAAAATACCATGACTGAGCTTCTTTCAGTAAGTCTTTGCTTCCCGTAAGGCTGGTTTCCATATCATCGCTACAATCGCTGCAAAAGGAAAGTTTAGCGATGGTAGTGGTCATGGAATCCACTCTCCAGTAATCGTAGAGATCGTTGCGACAACGCTCGCTGAGATACAGCAGACTAAGTATTCCGTTTTATCTCAATAATTGAAGCGATTTTATGGTAGTCGTAAGGATCGCTCAACTTTTCCTGTAGAGATAACAACAGGAAAAAGCGGCGATGGAAGCGATCATATAAAACTGAACCAGCCTTTAAAAAGTACGAACGAGATATTGTCCCAGATGTTTAAATTTGGGGCTGGGGGGGTCTTTTTTTCCGATAAACAAAATTATTTTCAGGATGCAGCATCTAGGACATGACCATTAATTTAACTGTCTATTTATTTCTGTGTTCAAGACGGTTTGGCCCTGCTGCTTTTTCGACAAAGGAAGAGCAAAACCAGCGTGTTCTTTACACCAAGATTCTGGAGTTTGAACAAGAGGCAGTAAGTTCTTTAGCTACCGACTGCGCATGATAAAGATTTGTACAAGGATTCAGCGTGATGTGCCGTGCATTTCGATTTGTTAATCATTTTAGAAACTATATTTAACCGCATCACTTTTCAGTGCGTTTTCGTTTAATATATCATTTACTAGAAAATGTGTACCTTGGCCTTCTGTCCGTCCACAAAATCGATTTTATTCCTGCTTGTGCGCTCGTGCAAATAAGGGATCTTGCGTCAAGTTTAAGTTGCGTTTAGTTCTCCTACCGTCGAACGTAATCAGTTACTACAAGATTTGTAGCGCTGCAGTGCGGACGTTTACGCAGAGTGAACCAGTAAGTTATTAATCATTACTTCTGTGATTTAAAAGGTGTGGCCGAAACTTTTACGTGAAAAGCTAAAACTTATGCCTTTGGAATCCAAGTTGGTCAAAGAAATAATAACCAAGATATTCAGGTAAGTCTTTGTATTGGAGAGAGTAACTGTAATGTTAGGTTACTTTCAGATTTTCTGTAGTTAATGACTCACTGTTTCTTTGGTTTTCGTCTCGCAGTTCGGCAGACCACCCTCTGACCCAGGTCCTTCTTCAGTATCAATATTACGTGTATCGGAAGCTGGCGCCTCTTGTAAAGGATGTAGGATTCCCGGATGTACGGAGCGGCAGAAAAGCTACGAGTCCTCAAGCTGACGTGATCTTCAATGAATCGCATTCTGATGAAGAAGCCGTTAACAAGGAAAGCGATGCCGACGGGGAGGATGAAGAAAAACACGGGCAGGACACAAATTTGCAACGTTTGCCATCTGATTCTGATAACAAGGAAAGTGGAAATAAAGCAAACGAAGACCAGGAAGACAGTGCTGAGAAAAAGGGACATCATGATGTTGAACAACATGAAGTGGTATATGGGAACACCGGCGACATAGATAAAGGGTCGACCGTCGATAGTGAATGTGCCAGTTCTGTAACAGATTTGGAGAAACTTAAGAATCTTCTGCAAGAAGAGGCTCAGCCAGAAACTCCTAAAGCTGAGACAACACAGGTTGATGATTCAAGCCATGGACAAGAGCCTTCTGCTGTGGCCTTGGTGAATGAATCTGAGAATTTGGAGAATTATTTCCAAGAACTCGAGGATGATATGTTTGGTTGGGAAAGCGACGTTGCTGACAAAAACGCCTCTGACAGTGAGGCTGGTAATACAGAAGACTGTCGAGAAATAACGAATGAAAAATCACTTTCTGAAGGTAAAGAAGAGAGTGATTCGAGCGTCAAAGAGAACAGAACTGAAGTTGTGGAAGAATCGACTGATGCGAATGATGTGGCAATATTCAAACCGGTAGATTCGCCACAAGGCGAAGACTCTCATTCTCCTCATGACACACACGAACCCAGTGAAACGGATCAGTCGAGCAAGATAGGCGTTGATTCGCAACATGTTAATGAGAAAGAAGAGGTGATAAATCCAAGATATGATGGAAAGACATTGAAAACGAATGAGGGTGATTCAAGCCTGGAAGAACAATGTCCTGACGAACAGAGAGCCAGTGGTAACACCAACGACGGCGACGACGAAGAAGTCCAAGAAAGAAAAGACTTAGAAACACGTGACACACCAGCGGAACAGACAACTGATCGGGCGAACTGTGGTGATCAAGGAAATGAACAGATACCCAAGTTACCTTTGTTTGCAGGTGAGGACGGTAACAACACAAAAGAACAGGATGACGGCATAACGGTACCACCCACTGATGAAGTAAGAAAACAGTTAAAGGACGTCTTGGTGGATGTGCGGTTTTTTCTTGGTATGTAAATTTGGTAAAGTTATTTGACGAGATTTTGATCACGAATCGAGCTCTTCGTAATCATTAGAGTCTCATTAGGCCTTCATCAGGGTAACATAGGAAGGACTGACCCGTGTGAGTTTACGGGACCATTTGCCGTTTTTTGACAAATCCCCATAGAAACAGTTTCCCGTTCTCACATAACAATCACAGAACATTGATTAAGTCTGCGTGTTAGCACGTGTGGCGGATATTGCCTAACGTATCAGCCTGTTCCATGTTGCTAAATAGCGTCACAGATAATTGCTTTACCCCATTCATTAGCCGGCCAAAATACATGATTGTGCATTAATATGACTCGTGTCCAAAGAAAACTGGGCAAAAACTCTTTGGCATGGTCCTAGTTCTCCATACTTTCCAGGTCTATTCATTCCTAGAACAGAACTTAGAACTTGCCTGATAGTTTTTCATGCCGTATGCGACAGGTTCTTTTCCAAACTCTGTTGCCGTACGCTTGCATTATAGCTTGTCAGTGTCTAGCTGTTGGGAAAAATTGCCAACCAGTGTTTTTTTTTTTGTTTTGTTTTGTTTTGTTTTTTGTTTTGTTTTGTTTTGTTTTTTCCAGAAAATCTTCAGAAGCTATTAATTCTTGCTTATGAACCACTGGATACACCAGCCGGTCGAGATTTGTGTTATTCCTGCATGGAGTTCCCTTTCTTTAAACCTCTGTGGCCCATGCTGTTAGCTGTGCTCAGGTGAGACGAACTGGTGCACAGGCTCCCTCGGTTAGTTGGAGACGAGCGAGGGGAGAACGAAGGGAGTCTAGGGTGAGAATTGTTTAGATTCTCCTCGTTTTCATTTTCCTCGCTCGCCCCCGTTCTCGGTTGGTCGCCCGCAAACGAGAGCCTGGAACAGGCTAGCTGTTACTGAGTTTAAAACTTTGTTTTCTATTTTACCGCAGTCATTAAAAGCTGATCCAAACAGTTTTTGTTCTTTCTGATTGTTTGTGAACAGGCAAGTGAATTTCGAGAAAGAACTTCGTTTGGCTGACGTGATGTCAGATAACATCAGTAAAGACCCTGCTGAGCTGGGTGTACCTCAAAGACTCTGCCTCGATGAAAAGGTGCGCGCTTACGAGCGAGAGGTCCCTTTTTTCTATGCAGCGTTTTCATATGACGTCATGGTGGCCATATTGTTGTTCCCAAACAATGAATTTTCCATCCTTTAGGAATATGCAAAAATTTTCTATCAATTGGGAACACTTACATGACCGCCGCGAAAAATAAGCAAAACTATGGTTGAGAACAATAATTTAGTTGCATGATGTTTAAAATAACTACCGAGGATGATAACTGTTGATGTTACGGCGGAGGAAAATATAGCAAGTATGATTCGCATACTCCTGTAGCATTCTTTTATTCAGTGATAGTAGCGGCATTTGCAGGTTAAGAAGGGAAAGTGGTTTCTTTCTCACCCTGCTTAGTGGCTTCTGAATTATAACGATCGCATAGTAGACTACAGTATCAGAGTAAAATATGCCAAAAAAGTAATAATTTTACGCAAAAACGCGGTTTGCCGTTTGAGGGAGCGACTGCTTGGGGAAGTTGAACACAATATCTGATCAGAGGACTGGTAAAGGATTACCATATAAGGGACTACGCTATTTATATTAGCGACGTTTAGCGATGTTAGGAAAGGTCGCTGTGTTAAGTAGCCGCTGAATAAAAGTTACTGCGTGGTTCCTAATTCAGGAATATTTAGAAGTCGATTTTTACAGTAAGTTGTTTTGCATTTAAGAAATAGAAAACATGTACCGTGTTTCTATCGAGTTTTAGTCTAAATCTACCAGCCTTCTATCACGAATGCCATTCTCTGATTGGCTACGCTTCTTACTATCTATTCTGTGATAGATAGTGAGTAGCGTAGCAGTGCGCCCTTTTTAACAAAATGACGGCCGCTTCTTGGCGTTTTCTTGGTGTCTGTGAAGAGGATTTCGATAAAATTTTTAGCGACTAGTAGATTTATACTAAAACAATTAGATTATTCGCTCTCGATTCCTATCGCGCGATAGAAATCTCGAGCTCATAATCTAATTGTTTAATAGAAACACGACTTTTTAACCAATCTGCGCGCGTATTTTCTTAGGACTGTTTTCTAATAAGTTTTACATTGAGACGCAGCGTGTCTTGTTTCATAAGAGACTATTGCCCATGTATGTCTTGTTTTTCTTCAGACCATTCTTGACGCAACAGGTAACAAGTATCCGTATCAGATGGCAGTTGAAGAACTTCACAAAGTCGTCACGCTCTTTTGTCCTTTGGAAAAATTAGAATGCTTAGGTATTGTTCTTAACTTCAGTAAGGAATCGTCTTCAATTTAGCACCGGCATGCAACAAGGAGAAAATTCTGAGTCCCTGCGACGGGAATCAAACCCATAACTTTCCGCACACCCGTCGGACGCTCTGAATGTTTTTATCAGGCCTCTCATTGTTTGAGATGTTGTTTTTGTGGATGTGAAAGTACAGATTTCCAAACTCAGCAAAAATGACAGACGTTACACCTTGTCGAATCTTTTTCGTTCACTTCGGCGGCGTATTAGGCGAGTTTGGTCGAGCAATAGTTCATGTAAAATACCCATGGCGAGACCTAACGAGTCTGATATGCCGGCGACGCGTGCCACAAAGGTACGATTAGGTATTTACCTACCATTATATGGTAGCCATATCAGATCACTGACTTGATATCGCCGGATATTGGGACAGTAGAAACAGATTCTGATTCAACCTCGTTCCCAGGGTCTCTCATCTTACCGCCCTCTTCGCTCGCTCGCTCCAGGGGGCGGTAAGATGAGAGACCCTGGGAACGAGGTTGATTCTGATTGGCTAATAAAATTGCGAATTGAGTACGGTAATTTGGACAAAAGTCTGATTAAATTAAAATACTTCCAGGAGAAACGCAAGGTCAGTTATTATTTCAAGATCTTTTTATTGAAGCTGTCTGTCCAGTCGCTTGGCTAGAGGTATTCAAACAAATAGCTTTGGGTGTTCTTTTCACAGTGCGAACGTCACGTTGTATCTGCCAGTGTGTTGAAGATTACTGGGAGACTAAAGGAAAGCCACGCCACAGCTCAGAGACTGCCATGTAAGTCACCATTTTATCGGACGAATTTTCGTGATGTACAAACTTACACTTCGATTGAAAAAAATACCTCAAAACGGTAGATACCAGAGGGGCAGTACCAAACGAAAGAGGAACAAGGACTCTTAAAGATTTAGACCGAATACCAACGATAACCAAATTTAAGGGGGTTGATATCGATATTCTAAGATCTGCCGGGCGCCACTAAATCATGTTTCCTGCTTGTTCCCCCGCAACCGTTTAAAAGGCACAGTCCGTGTCGCGAAATATCGTGCTCTCACTTAAACAGGTATTTTAGTTTACAAAAGTAAGATTTATTTATTTGTTTTTTTCATTTTATTTTAATGGTATCAGTGGCTGCGACGACTTGCTGCCTATCCTGAGTTTTGTTATTATTCGGAGTGGAATGGCGCAGTTAGTTTCTGAGTGTGACGCCATGGAGGAATTCATACCCGAGGGGTAAGTTCTCAATGTTAAATTTCCTTCATTTATGGGTAGAGAGTAGTTTATGCACTTATGCACTTCTTAGGCTCCAACCACATTACGCCGTCACGAAAATGTGGCTTTTGGAAAACGCTCTTCAAACCGGAGGAATTTGAAAACGCCGGCTTTGCGTTTTGGTGTGGACAGAAAAAAATTTTGAAAACGAAGCTTTTCGTAAACGATGACGTCACGATAATCACGTGATTTCCCTGCCCGAGTTTAACTCAACCACAAATCCAAAATGAACGCTGATTGTTGCTTTGTTGTTTTTAAATTCCTCCAGCGTAGTGTGGGCGGAAAACATTTGATACATTTTCAGAGTGAAACCTCCGTCTTCAAATTCCTCCTGCATATTGTAGACGGGGCTCTATCCCTTGAAGGAAGGTGTTGTTTTCCTATTTTGTTTTTAAAACAAAGTGTCATATTTCCCCGTAAATTAAATTATTTTTTCTGTTAAAAAAAGGAACGAATTGTGTCCAATCTGTGTGATAATTCTTGACAATTCTTTGCTGGATTTAGGTGTTTCCACTTTTAGAATATAATGTTAGCAACGTATAGCTGTCTTTGATCGTATCAATAAAGAAAAGCAGGCAGTGAGATAAAAGGAGACGTGAAGATGAAACGAAAAACGATTCCTTACATCTACTGCGATCGTTTTCCTCCGATATTAATCGAGCAATGTGGTGTGAAATGGATAACTTCTTTCTGGTCCTTTTTTGATTTTTTGAAGGTACCTCATGGGAGAAGAAGGTTACTGTCTCACGACTCTTCTAACAGCCCTGGCTTATTTGGCCACCCTGAAGCCCACGTGACCCTGCTCTCTGAAGAAACATCAAGGCACAAGATGAAACTGGAATGTGTTGGATTAACCTGTACACTAGCTTTGGAATCCCATCTGAGGCCAAACGTGTGAATGAATTAGGCTTTCTTCTCTTGGAGGCCATTTTGACTGGATTCATAGAATGTGTTAGGCCTGTGTTGAATTGCTCCTCAGTAGTTGTTTACGTGACCCTGCTTGTTGGCATTTGGCTCGTAACGCAATATTTCTCTGAAGATTTGCGTGACGACTCAAAAATCAACTGATACATGGACATAGTGTGAGATAGTGGATCTTGTGGTTCAATTTTACCCGTGGTACAACTTGGTAGTCTCCTTTGTGCTGGTGTATGGTAAGATATTATAATGTGTAGGAAACGAAAGAAGACACCAAATTGTATCAAGGGTAATGGTGAACCACAACGTGGATGTGGTTTCCTTTCTTAGAAGTACGGAAGAAAATGAATAGTGACGTACTGTAATGATTCGATGTAGAGCCGGGGTTCAAGGGAGGGCCCTTATTGGAGAGAAGGCGCTGATTAGCGACGGGCGCTTGTGTCCCTTTCGAACATATACATCTGAATGTGACACAATAAAATGCAATACAACAGATCCTTTAACTCAAGAACTGTAACAATAGGGGTTCTAATAGTCATAGTGTTCAATATTACGTTTAGATGAGGAAGCAGACTCCATAGTTCATCATCTAATTACTCTATTCTATGTCAATTTCTTTAGTTTCACTTTCGCTATGGGGGCGCTTATCGGAAAGAGGCGCTTATTAAAAAAGACGGCACTCGGTGAGGAGTGCTTATTATAAAGAAGGTGCTTATTGGAAGGAAGGAGCTAAATAGAATCATCACGGTATTCATCAGACTTGACGCGAACTTAGTAGGGCTGTAGATGCAATTCACATAGACAGGAAGGGAAAATCTTACATTTAAAGTCCAGAGACAGTAAAATTTGTGAACACTGAAGTATGGCATACAGTAGTCATAGTATAGTTGCTTTATTTTATGACACTTTATTTTCGGTTATCGATACAAATATACCCCAGAACTCAATTGAAAAGACAGGTGTTATTGCGTCATGCAAAGCATGCAGACACGGTCTTTATTCGTCGTTACATGAATATTGCGCCAATTAAAACAAATGTTATTGAGTTATGAAATAGACTCGAAGGCGTCCGAATTAAAACATAAATTAAAATACATGTTACTGTAAAGTGTATGCTTGTGATAGTATCTTACCGAAAATGGTGAGTAAAGGTATTATTATTAAATTAGTATTTTGCGAAACCAGCTTATCTTAATATCCACACGAACATATATTTGGATGTATTCTGATAGGGAATATTGGTAATACATACAACGGAAAATAAAAGGCAGTAAAAATGTACCGCGAAGTGGCTGCAGCGAGATTGTCTATATGAAAACGTCAAACATTGGATAATGGGTTGAATTGATTCGCGCGATATAGCTATAAATTAAGTATATATTATGTTTACATGTATGTCATAGGGCAGACACCCAATGTATTTGTATGAACATAAATCACTCTGGCTGTTTAAGGACATTTAATGATTAAAAGTCAATCGAAAGCTCTCGTGTGCCTAAGGTGGCTCACAATAGTTTCCAGCTCTTTTCAGCTCTATAGTGGCTCTCATGGGATTAAACAAATGCCCAATAATTGGTAAAGAGGTATAAGTCACCCTCAGAGCGATTTTCACTTGAGTGTCGAAAAGTAATTGGTTTCTCATCACTACGCTACGCGATTGGCTTATTATTACAAAACTGGCGCAACTTCATCCAAAACCAATCGTGCCTCGTTCGCACGTGCTTTCCCGCGCTTTGCTTGGCGTCAGCTGCATGTATTTACATCGAATTTTGATCGGTCCATTGGATTATCTGATTGAAAACCACAATATATTTAGCGTTAAGGGCGAAGAACTGAAAAAACGGCCCCTATAAGGAGAAGGCGGCATGTGAGATTCTTAAGGTGGTGGGAACCGGAGGAAATTTTGCAAAATTACACAACAGAAGCATCTAGGGACCACTAAGGNGGGGAACCGGGTTCAAAAGTACTTTGTGCGGGAAGTTATCCCCCTTGCCCTGGCGATGGCACAACGCAAATGTGATTTGAGCTCCAAATTCGAATCATTGTTCCACTAATTGTTTCTAAAACTTTCTATTCATTTTGAAAGACTTTGGCCAAAAAGGAAGGCGATTGGGAATCTCGCCACCCAAATGGTTAGTTTTATTATTAACGCCAGGGGAATGTGGTAACGTGTAACATTTTCTCAAGTCAGCTTTTAATGCGCGAGACCGGCACCATCTACATAGCTGACACATACACCTCCACTCTTAGACACTTCCAGCCGTAAAACTTTGTTGGATGAAAACGAATGAATCTTGCAGACAGAGGCACTGGTAACCTGTGATAGTCCATTTGGGCATTGACACCATCCCTGTGAAATTCCTGAAAACAAGAAGCACAGAGATTACTTCAAACACGTGTAGAGTAGTACGGGGAAATCCTTACTTGAATTTTCCTCAAAAAGATATGGTCTCATGCATTGAAGAAATAAAAAAAATGCACGCATTTCTACCGCAACTTCGCTCCCCCTTTCGAAGTTGGTGCTCATAGGTTTGGATGTAACAATGAGATTCAGACAACATTGGGAGAGACACGAAGTCAGGTCGCCTCGTTTCGTTT